TAAGCCAAGGATAATGATTATGTTGCGCAACGACTGTGGATTCGCAGAAGGGAAAGCTTTGCATAGCTTTTCTGGAGGTTGAGGGGATGGAATACAGAGTACAGAGGGGTCGAGGGATTTCGTAATCGACAGACAATCGACGAGAACAACATAATGGATATCGAACTCAAACTCAGTAGCCCACAGGCCCCGAAAGCATACTTCAAGGCATTGCAACTAATTGGCTTTCCTTGAGTGAGGAGGTCTGGTCCTCTGCTCAGCTCCTCAACCGCAGGGAAATGGCCACTCCTGTTTGTCTTCTATGCCACTTGATTGGAAAATCAAACTAATTAAAAGATTTCAATTAAACGCCGAGCTGGGAATGCATTACTCTCCCCTGCCACAGTGATTCCATTAAAATGGCAAATCAATTTCAATAAATTTCATTCAAAGGTGGAAACGCAATTGCATGGCCAGCTCAGCTCAGTTTAGCTCAGAAGGTCCTGTCGCTATTGCGAGGACATCATAAAACTGTTTACATGCTGACAAATCTGTTAATTGAATCGCAAATCCAATTAAAACTTCGATTTTCTATCCCCCGGAACTTTGGGCGGCAAAAGTTCAAGTGCATAAATGGCCAGCATGTGTGTGCTGTGTGGCCAGGACATTCCGCTTTTGTGTCCGAAAAACTTTTCACAGCTTGTCGTCCTCGCAGTCGCAAAAATTCGACGTTCCTGCTGTTGCGTGTAAATTCAATAACAAATTTATGCGTCAATTTTAGTTGAAACTGCATTAAAGCGTACAATTTCCTAATTAGTCCGTCTGCCGTTTACACAGGCTCGCTGGCCAAAACTCGTCTTGTTTCCCTCCCGCTGGCATTTCGCATTTCTGCACGCAAAAATAGTCAAAGCGAAACCGCAAGCTGCGCATAACTAACTCAACTGCTTTATTTGGACAAACCGCAGCCGCAGCTTCCCTCTGCCTCTGCCAAATATTTCCATCCCAGGACACCAGGACACCCTGGATGGGCCTGCTGTCGAAAAATAGCAACATATACAATTTCGAATGCAGCGCGGAGATGAGCAGGTTCAGTTTTGATGGTCAGGAATATCAGGAGATTTTATATCGGAAGATATTACAGATTAGAAAACAAATTTAAAATATCTTGAATTAATTAAAATATAATATACAAACACTTAATACATTTATTTTTAATTTATTAGAAGATTAAGAGAGAATTATTAGGACTTAGAAAATATCACAGCAGTTAAAAAAGACCCTAAAATCACATAAAATTTAAATCACTTTTAAGGTGTCTAAAAGTATGCAATAATAATGAATTAAATTCTTTTCTTTGAAATCTTTAGTTAATGTTCTAAAAGTATTTTTAAACAAGAAAGGAAGCTAGCTTCGGCAAACCGAAGCTTATATACCCTTGCAGATCATTCTATTAATTTACAAATCGCAAAAATGTTAAATTTCTTATTATTTCACATTAATTTTTCGATCGTTTCTATCACAGCTATATGATATAGTAGTTCGATCTTTTAAAAATTAAAATCGAAATTCGGAAATATTTCAAAATAGTCATATCCCAGAGAAGAAGGGAATGTAATAAAAACCAACAAAGATATAATTTTTTCCCATTAATTTCCATTTAATTTTTCGACCGTTCCTATGGCAGCTATATGATATAGTGATCCGATTTAAAAAACAAAAAAACCGAAATTCAGAAGTATATAGAAAAAAATATTCCCAAGAGTAGAAGGTAAAATTTAAAAAAACACTGATCCTTCCTATGGGAGCTATAAGATATAGTTGTCCGATCCGGTTGGTTCCGACATATATACTACCTGCAATAGAAATACGACTTCTACGAAAGTTTCATCCCGATAGCTTTAAAACTGAGAGACTAGTTTGCGTAGAAACGGACGGACAGACGGACGGACAGACGGACAGACGGACGGACAGACGGACATGGCTAGATCGACTCGTCTTGTGATGCTGATCAAGAATATATATACTTTATGGGGTCGGAAATGTCTCCTTCACTGCGTTGCAAACTTCTGACTGAAATCATAATACCCTCTGCAAGGGTATAAAAACTATATAAAAACCTATAATCAATTTATATTAGACAACTTAAGGTGTGTTTATAACCCATAGAAGATTTTCCGGAATGCCTTTCATCAATTTAATACCCATTATCACTCCGAATGACGCATCTCTGTCGGCTCATTTGGCTTGTTCCGGTTTCGTTTCGTTTGGGGTCTCGGATTCGGGTTAGTTTCCCGGAGAGTGCCGTGTGGAGCCCATTAAAAGTGCATTTAGTGAAAATTTATCTGGGCGCAGAAAGGTAGCAACCGCAGGCGCATTTTCGCATTTTCGACTCGAAAGCTTCATAGCTACAAGTGTGCGTGTCCGGAAACGGAAATAAAATAATTCTGGTTGCAATAGCAACAGGAAGTCTGTGCTGCTGCCACTTTTATCCTTCGCATCCCAGGGACTTGTGTCTGCCAGTTTTTGGCCTTCTGTCTATTTGTGTTTGCATCTGTATTTGTTTGTCTGTTTGCCTGTGTGTCTGTTTGTTTGTTTGTTTGCTTGCCTGTTTGGCGTTGGTGCGAAGGTTTTACTGTTTATGCAAATGCTCTGGCCCACGAAATGCTTTAACCGAAAACACTTTAACCGCATTCACCTTGGGCAGAAGGCTGCTTGTTAGTAGCCATTGAGAGCAGAACAGACCGAAACAGCTCCCCCAACACTTTGAACTGTGCTCAACTCCATTCAGCTGCCCAAAAGGCCGTAAAATGCCTGCAAGTTACGGCCATGTGCCCCTTGGCTGCTGTTCCCGAAAAATGTTTCATTGCTATTGGAGGTGCACTGGAAAAAATCCTTAATGAAACGATATTCTATCTATACGATTAATCTTTTCCATACTAAAGTATTTTCTAAAAAAAAATATAGGCAGTTTTCTATTTCTCGATACTCAGCATACCCATCGGTATTATCGAATCGATTTTGTCAAAATATCGAAAGTATCGATAATTCTCAAGCTCTAGTATTTTCAAAGAGAGATAAAATGGAAAAAAACTATTTCCAAAATCTATTTTACATTAAATTCAATTTTTAATATCAAGTATATTTTATTTTCTTTATCTGCATTCTGCTACAGATCCCCGGCTGTTCCAGACACCTCCTCCTGGACCACCATCGCACCCACCTCTTCGCGGCTGCCTGAGTTTCTATTATGTAGCATATCGTAATCTCACTTGAGTCAAAGGTTTAGCTGCAGACACCCGAAAAACACCCAAAACACCCGCAACACCCCGAAGAACACCGTAGCAACAACAACCCGCAGCTAACACTTTGTAAATAGTCATCGGCGTGTTTATTACTCAGTCGTGCCAGAGTGTCTGTCCCTTCCGTCGAGGTCCTCTCCTCCATGGTCCTTTCTCTCCTCCGAAAGTCCTGGTGCCGTGTGGTCCTGCGGTTAGTTGTTAGTGTTGCCGTGTAATCGCTTTTGCGAAAGATTTTCACCCAAAGTGTGTGTGTTCGTGTGCTTGACTTTTCGCTTAATGAAAGTACAGTTTAAACTTTGCATATCCCGAAAAGGATAACCGAAACTAGGTTTTCAACTGAGAATTTAAGGGTAAACATCTTGGCTATTCGGGTGATTACCTTAATATATTCGATTGGTATTAAATTGAGATTTAAGTGGGGTACTTTTACCTTTACATTCTATTATGATATTAAAATTGCTTCGGTATATTTTCTTTCATTTAATTGGCTTTTTGAAATACTCAAAATTCGCTTTGAAATTTCAATTATCTAATCCAACTGTTTCTAAACCAAAAAATTAAACTACAAACATTTGAGTTTTACATTCCAAAATATTTAACTACATTTACGAATTTATTAAAAAACTTTAAGTGCGCTTTAAAAACTCTGATATCATTGCTGCACACGGCCAAAACGGTGAGTAATTGGTAACTGCTACTTAGAGGCACTAACTACACCCGTCCTCCGTTTAATTCCGACCAGCATTTTCCTCTTGACGTCACAACAACTGGCGAACAGAACAGAACAGAAAACAAAACAAACAATTTCTCTCGCACGAAATTTATCGTTTGCATAAATTTGCTTTATTGCCCGGCTCCCTGTCGTTGTGTGTGGGAGTGTGTTGGAACTAGTGTGTGTGTGGGTGAGTTAGTGGCTGTGTATTTGTGTTGCCAACGGAAGTGTAACTTTCGCTTCCAGGCCAGACATGGCCAAAACCAACAACAACAACAACGGCAGAAACGAATGCGGCGAACAAAGTTTTCCATTATTCAATTTAACTAATGAAACTGAAAATTCATTTTACCACATTAACAAACACACACACAGACAGAAGGAAAGGGGAGGGGAAACACAGGACACCAAAGGACGAGGCCAGGAAATGTGACTCGCCTCCGGAAAAAAAACATGTGTGCGTGCTGGACTCCTGTTTTTGGTTTCTCCGCCACCATTTGAACAGCCATAAAGCGCGGAAATTTATATTCAAGTGGAAACTCGACGAGGACAGCCGCGTCGAGGCGCCACCCTAGTGCGTTGGCATTTAAATAATTAAGTATATTTTTAGACAGCCATTCGAATGCCCGTTTGCGAGTCCTTCTTTGGTAGCAGCCATGTGTGAGTTAAGTTGTACCGGGTTCTCCTAGAATTTGAAGAGTTTTGAGGGCTAAAAGAGTTTTAAAATCACTCATAAAGGTGTCTAAAAGTATGCAATGACTTTATATTTATTTATCCTATAGGTTTTCTACTTTATAAATTAGCTTTAGGCTATGAACTGAGTTTTGCGGGCTAAAATAGGGAAGGGATTACTTAAAAAAGTGTTTACAAGTATGCAATAACTTTTTATTTATTTCTAGTATATTTTTTAAATTTTATAAATTCGCCTTAAGCTATGAACTTAATAACTATAACCTTTTAAAAACGATACCTTTAAATATTTAAATAAAAAAAGGTCATTAAGATATTTCTTAATAGGACGAATAATTTTACAGTTGTATTTTTTAAGTTAAAATTTTGTGTGCTAACATCTTCTGAGGGATTATTACATTATTACATTACATTGTATTTTCGGTTTTTATGGTTTATGACAGGCAGGTTCTATAGAACATTTTAATTTATCACCCGCCCTTAAATATAATCTAGTCCTCCTCCTCCAGTTCCTCGAGTTCCTCATCATCGGATGCATCTTCCATCTCGTCGCTGGTGTTGTTGCTATCGGCGCTATTAAACTGTCCATCGTTGTCGTCGTCATCATAATCATTCTCATCCCCAGCATCCTCGTCCATGTTATCCTCGGCATCGGCGTCGGCTTCATTATCGCTTTCGCCCAGGTTATCCTGGGTATCCATGGGCACAGCGCCCACCTCCACGTGGTCGCCGTTTCCCAGATCGTGTCGCAAAAAAGCAGGAGGAGATCCGAGTGTTTTGCCGGAGGTTTCCGGTGACTTTGGTACAGATGTAGCTCCCTGTTTTTGGATGGACTCCACCACCCGCCGAGGACTCTCCTCACCGGCTGTATTGCGATTACGGTGGCCGGTGGTGGTAGAGTCCCTGGCTCCAGAGGAACCCTGACCCCGTGGTTGCAGCAGTGGCATAGTATCCGGTTCGATGGTCTTCTCATACTCCGTAAAATTGAAAAGCGGCGGGAGACTCCGGCCATTGGGCAACTGCTGGTGGGGATCGTGACGCAGCTCGTCGAAGAACGGATGGGCACAACCCATCATCGGCGAGACCCGTTGATTGGGTGAGTAAACGAGCATTTTGGATACCAGATCTATGGCCTCCGCCGGGGTGCGAATCCTGAAGACCTTGGGCCACGGATGCGGCTTCAGTTGCGGCAACTTGAACTGCTTGTAGTGGGGATTCATGTCGTGCAGCTGCTCGGAGGTGGGAGTACCCATTACCTTCACGATCTCCACAATCTGATCCACACCCGAGTCGCCGGGGAAGATGAGCTGCCCGAGGAGTAGCTCGGCCATCACACAGCCGGCGCTCCAAATATCGATCTTGGTGGAGTAATCAGTGGCCCCAAAAATTAATTCAGGAGCACGATAATATCTAGAGCAGATATACGAGACATTCGGCTCCCCGGAGACCAGCTGCTTGGCACTGCCAAAGTCGCAGAGCTTCAGTATGCCCGTCTCTGAATCCAAAAGCATATTTTGTGGCTTAATATCCCGATGGCAGAAGCCTAGACTATGAAGATAGGCCATGCTCCGCAACAGTTGGTACATGTAAAGCCGCACAAAGTTGACGGGCAGAGTCTGCTTGGCCCTCGCATACTGACGTTCCACCTTATAGAGCGTCTCCGGCAGGAATTCCATCACCAGATTCAGGTAAACCTCATCCCGTTTCTCGCCACTCGAGTAGAAGAACCACTTGAGAGTGATGATATTGTCGTGGCGCAACTTTCGCATGATCTGAAGCTCCCTGTTCTTGAAGCGACGATCCTGGAGAACCTTCTTGATCGCCACCGCCTCGTTGCTGGGCACCATTTTGGCCTGGAAGACCACGCCGAAGCTGCCGTTGCCCACCACCTTGGCGTCCGTGTAGCTGATCTCGCTCATCACATCCGCCCCGTAGGCATTTGTGGCCACCACGGTGGTCACCTTGTTGCTCAGTCCATTGCTCTTGCCCTGGGAAGCCATCTGATTGGAGATCGGCGATCCTAGAGTGTCTTCTCTTAAGCTATCCACGAGTTCTAGTCAAAAAAACAGCAACAGCGAGGAGATCATGTGTTTAAATGGCGTTTGTAACTGAAATAACGTGATAAAAACAAAATACTTGTGTTTTGAGTAGGGCGTTTTAGTTTGCTTCTGAGAAACTGACAGCTTTTGCAGATCAAAATTCAGGCTGGCTGAGATCTATTTGAATTATATATTTTGCAAGACAGAAAGCTATATTGGATTCCCGTTACAAAGCTGAAGGTTAAGCTAAATCGACTGCTTGCAGTGCCTCGGATTTTAAAATTTCCTTCTACATTTCGATACGTTTTAAGAAACACTTTTACAAAATCTGTAAAAATGACAGTGATTAAGCTTGAGCTTCTCAGATTGGCTTTAACGACTTCATCAGTTTTCATTTTGAGTGCGATATTCATTCTGTCAGGATAAGAAACTAAGTATTTAATAGCTCGCCACTCGCCCACTCATAATTCACAGGATCCAACTGTAGTTGTCACTCAAGGTTGTAGTGGAAACAGATTTCTCAGCTTTTGTCCCTCTGTGCTCTGTTTTTGGCCACTTGAGCCGAACTTAAGCAAGGCCATTCATAATTCGTGAGGGCCTTCCTTTGTGCTCCGTAAGTTGGCTAATTTCGCAGGACCCTTTTGCATTGTTGTCCAGGACTCGACTTTCGACTTGAAAGTTTCGCTGGCGCCTTTGTCTTCTGGCATCTTATCGCCCTGGCTAACTTGACTTGGCCCTACTTGTCTCGGCCATCCTGTCCGCTGGCTTATCAAAAGACCTTGCTTTTACTGTTTCCTTCCAGTTGAAGTGCCCCGCAGGGTGGCATTTTTTTATATATCCCGAGATAGCATCCCCCCCAAAACGAATAAAAATGTGCTCTCTGAATGTTTTTGTATAAAATGTCGCTTGCAGTTTATTTTTTACTGGTAATTTTATTGTATATATTAGATATATATATATAAAAGTGACACACTCATGGTAAAATCTTGTTAGAGACATTTAATCGTATATATTTAAGTTTCCGTTTCGTTTCGTTTACAGTTTACACCAATATTCAGTAGATTGTAAAAGTGTTTAATCGATAATATTCATATGCATTCCGTATTCGTATTCGTTATCGTTTCTACTCTAGTTTGCTAGTCTGACCACACACAAATCGTTGAGTAATATTATTAGAAGAAGGGGTATTTACACAATTCAGGAGTCACGAAAGGTCAACGGACGGACAGACTTAAATTAGTTGCAAATGATTAAACTAAGCTAAAAGGGGGCTTAACGTATATGGTCGAAAGTGGCTCGCTTACGTAAATATTATTGAAATTGTTGGACGTTGTTGGCATAAGTAAGTAAGTAGTTGGGGCTACAACTAGAGTATATATTTTATTTAAATTTAAATACACATATAGGCTACTACATTTATTTGGCTTTTCTCGTTGCTGCGCTGCTGCTGCTGCAGTAAAATTAAATTTTACATAATCTTGTGTGTGCTCTTGTGTAAGAGGCATTATTTAAATGCGTATCAAATTGGTTCTTAGTAGTTAATAAAAACGTATATTTAATTTACTTCCAGGCGCACACACACACAACAATAAAATTTTATATTTATCGCTTACGATTTCCGGCCAGAGTCCTTTTTGTGTATCTGTGTGTGTGTGTGTGTGCGCCCGTTTGTGCTGCCTACTTTTTTGGGGGCCTGGCTTTTCCTCTTCTAAGTTTTCCGCGTTGTCTGGCTTGTGCGCATATTTTAATAAATTTTATGCCGCTGAAATGTGCCCCGCTTATCATTAACGCACAATTTATTTTTGCTTTTATGCTTCTCCTCGTTTTTCTCTGCAGAATATACTTCAGACCCCCGAATTGCCGTTGTTTATCTGTGAGATACATTTGCTTTTTTGGCTTTTTGATTATTCGCGTCTTAAGATTACTAAGATTTCGGTACCCCCAAACCCCAACTTGGCTATATACAGCATTATCTATTTACATGTTGGCATAATGTGCATTTAATTTGTGCTGGTGAAAACTTTCCGACCAACTTTTGCCCCGGCGGCTTTTAAATGTTGTTTATTGTTGATGTTGAGCCCGCACATGTAGTTTCCATTTAACTTTCCACTTACACGTGGTGCGTGTTTACTCCGATTCCTTTCTAGAGCCAAGCCTGCTGCTGTTCGTAGAGTTGTTGCTGCTGGGCGAGCTGATGTTGCTGCTGGGATTGCTGATGTTGCTGCTGTTGCTGTTGCTGCTGTTGCTGCTGCTGTTGCTGCAACCAAAGTTTGCAGAATGCAGTGGGCGGCGGATTGGAGGCGCAGCTCACTCCTACTCCCACTGAAGGGGCGTGGTCGGCGTGCTTTGGCTATTGCAAATTAAATTTAGCTAATTCTCACAACTCTGTGCTCATTTCGCTTACAATTGCGCTCTGCCGTTTGCATTGTAGTTTTGTAGTAGTTGCATTTGCATTCCATGAAAATAAAAGTAGAGGAGAAAAGAGGGATTTTGGGGGGTTGGAGAAAGAGAGAGAAAATATTTGCACATGTTAGAAAAAGTTTTCTTGTTGATTCGATTTTCTCATTTAAGTTTTCTAGTGCTCGGTAATGTTGGTGTAGTGTGAGTGTAAGTACAAGTGTGTGAGTTCAGCTGGTTAGTTTGCTCTAGCGACTACAGTGCGTATGCGTTATGGTGCTCTTCATTTCGAAATAAATTTACAAAAAATATAGTTCAAGTGCCGCCACGCAGTTTATGGCCGCAGTAAATCCAGTTTTATCGCCGCAACTGCCACAAATTGAATACTTTTTATCATTTCAGTTGGCGCCGCACCACAAATAATTACTTAATTTAATCATAAACCAAAAAGAAATCCTGCAAACAGTAGAGAAACAGAAATGTGTGTGTGGCAATGGGGTGAGTTTTTATATAGCCATTCATAAGCTTATCTCTCCGCCCTCGGCAAAGAAATGTGCGTCAAATTTACGATTGCCACTCGGGCACTTTCCACATTTTCAGCACTTTTCTTTTGCCTTTGCCCTTGCCTTCTCGTTTTCGTTTTCTATTTTCTTTTCTGTGACAAAAATGCGTAAAGTTTCTCCCGTTGTTGTTGTTGGTGGCGTGTGGCCTAGCTACAAGTCGCGATGGGCTCGAAATGGCCGAATTCCAGGGGCCAAGGGGTTGGTCGAGGGTCGAGGGGGTCTAATCTAAAACAAGAACTGTCGTTGTACCAAGGTCGAACACGCAGACCCTTTGTGGAAATACCCTTTCAAAGTGGGTCTATGTTTTATGTAAGGATCACGATTGAAATCCTTAGAATTAAAGATGATAAAATGGATAAAACTATCAATGCAAAAATATTTCCAGAATATTCTTAACATTTTTTAAATCTATAAATGCTAAAATTACTTCCAGGATTTTCCTAAGATTTTTTAAGTTTGATTAATCCCACAAATATTAAAATATTTATAAGCCATTCTACAAAATTTCCCTTATTATTGTAAACCATTCTATTAATTCTTGATATCAGACCACTTGGAGCAAAGAACTCTGGTAAATATTAGATGACCTCAAATATTTATCGTTATCAAATAAAGAGTAGCCCGAGGTCCACAAAGCCCCGCAGGCCAACCATTTTCCCTTTCAATTGTTTGTTATGCCTTTTTTTGTGCTTCTACAAAATGTTGTTTATTTGGCTCCAAAGTATTTCTACGATATGAAATGTTTGCCTAGCCTGGTTGTTGTTTCACTTTTTTCGGTTTTTTTTTGCCTTTTCACTGGCTGCCAACATTGCGCCTTTTTGCTTTCATCGCTTATTTTTTTGTGGGTTTATTTTTGTTTTGTGGCCTGTTGTTTTGTTGAAATTTGTATTTATGTGCGGGTCGGAGGCACAGAAAACAGAAACACTGCCATCGAGCCGGCAGAAATATCATTTACCCGGCTCCTACATATATTTTAATGTGTGACTGTGGCTGTGTTTTCGGTGTCCTATCATATTTTCCTGTTCATGTGCATGTGTGGGGGACTTTTGTCTTTGTATCCCTGAAAATTATGTATATTTTTAGCACTTTCGCTTGTTTTGTTTTCGCTTATCGAGTTTGAAGGTCATTTACTTGCAATTCCCAGCTCGCAATAAACGTCCTGGGCCTTCACATCCATTCGGATATATGAATGTTCTCTGTTTGGTTGGCTGGGTAGTTAATTTGTTGTGAAATTGTCATTTTGTTGCTTCAATGGCTGCGTGCAATGCGGCGTATGAGTAATATTTCTGTGCCCTGGCCATAGCATACTTTCCCGGGTTAATGAGGGTTGTTGTTGGGTGGGTGGGCCTCCCCCCGAAATTTAAATTGACATGTTTAAAGTCAATTTGCCCCAAGTTTGGCTCGTAAACAAAATACAGATTCCACCCCGATGACATTAACCTATTCATTTGTAAATAGGCTGTCGAATTTCCTAGCTTACATAAATATTTGTGTTGCCCTTCCGAGCGGAAAAATGTCGAGGAAAAATAATCGAAGGGAGAAAGGAGACAAGGCAGTCAAATCAAATGTAAATCCAGAACGAAAGCGAGCAGCAGAAAGAAGCAAGTGAAATTGAAATGAAAATGAATGTTTGCCTGAGAGGCTTTTCCACCATTGTTTTGGCCCCCAAGTCGATTGTTATCTTGGCCCAGAGGCAATTGAAAATTGGCAGCTGGGAGGTCGAGTCGAAGTCGAAGTCCCGACATTTTCCGCATTTCCGCGTTGCGTAGGCCTAACGGGCACATTAATACATAATTTATAATGTTTTCGTTTCGTTTTGTTTTCGCACACTTAAAGGAGATGTTTCGTGTATTTGTTGGGGGTTTTTCTTTAAATTTCTGGAAAAACGGGGATAAGGGCTTCAGAACAAGGGGCATTCAACTCATTATTATGTCTGCCAACATCTCAAAGCTAGAACTTCAATGCAATTCTTAACAATAGCAGATACGCACACAATAACTCGACTTTCAACCAACTGGGTAGCAAAAAAACTGCAATTTTCATCTAAAGGTAAAGAGTCACTTCTGTTGTTTCTTCTTCTTTGTCTAAACATGCAGGTCAAAGGTCGGTAAGAGTAACGGTATTGGTATTATTTCTTGTTAGCTACGGAACAGAACAGAAAATAGGTTGTACCTACTCGAAGTAGAAACAGAAATCAAACAGGACGAACCGAAAAGCAAACTGAAAATAAAAACTTACCGTCGACTACTTTGGATAATTGGCGAAAGGATTATCTCTAAGCTGGAGGAAATGTTTTGATTTTGATTTTGGTTTTGATTTTGTTGCAGGTTGGCATTCGATGTTGATGTTGCCGTGCCAGTTGCTGTTGTTGCAGTTGCAGTTGTTGTGTTGGGTGGGGGACTCGCATTCGTGAGGCTATTGGAGGTGTGGCTACTCGGGTTCAGATTCGGATTCAGATTCAGATTCGTATTTGTATTTGCATTCAATGTGGGACTATTTAACGTTTGGCTGCCGCCGGTAATTGGCCCTAGTTGTTTCGCCTGCTGCTGCTGACCATTGTAGACATTCGCATTGCAATTATCGAAATTAATATTGGTCGATGTACTGGATCGGGATCCCATGTTGTTATTGGCCAGGCAGTTGCTGCTGCTATTGTTGTTGTTGCTGGAACTATTGTGACTGCCCGTGGGGGACATCAAAGGAGCATCCGCATCAAACATGTCCTCCGCCTCGGCGGCCTCGTCATCTTCGGTATCCTCCGTCTCGTCGTCGTTGGTGGTCTGGGCATTCTCCATTCGCAGCGCCTCCAGGACCATCATGGCCTCGTCCTCGCTGCAGGAGTGCGACGAGGAGTTCGAAGTCATCTGGTTTGATCGCAAATCGAATCCAATTTGGGGTTGGTTTTCGGTTTCGGGTTTTCGGGGTGATACAGGGGGGTTTGGTGGTTTGAAAATACAAACAAGGTTTAGCTTTCTTGCAGGGCTCTCTAATCACGCTCTATTGTTCGATAGTAGGGGCATGCAACTTACACAGCTAGTTGTTTATCACAATATTGGGTCTACTAATTTAACATAATAATAATAACAGGGAACAGGCAAAACAGGCAAAACACAAACACATGCTGTTTATCGACAATTTCGACTGGGTAAATAGTATTTCAATTAGGAAAATATTGACAAAATCAACCGAATCTATGCGATACGATAGTATTTTAATTAATTTACAAAACAGGGTAACAAAAACACCCCTGCCCCGCGGTTTATGAATTTATCATTAGGGCCCCGGGCCCTGCACAATTTTAATTACACGCAAAATACTCGAATAACAAGGGCCCCAATCAACAATGCCAAATAGCAGAGTGCAAAGCCGATGGTGATGGTAATGGTATAGTAACAAAAGCCCTGGCGGCCAAACAGCTGACCATTCGATTCAAACCGCGTGCACAGGTGGCCGGCAAAAGGCAGGTAAATGGGGGTTTCGGTTGGGAATTGGTTTCACCTGAAACTCGGGGGCAGGACTGGCGATCCCTAACCCATTCCCATTCGAAATGCGCCACACGCCCTGCGGTTTTCTGTTGATTGCACAGCGGATAGCGATTCCTTCCCCGAGTCCTTGCTGTACCAGGGGGTTAGTTAGCTGTGTTTTGAGGGGGTTTCCTTTAAAGAGGTCTCCTCAAATAACCAACTAAAGTTGTTCTTAAACCCTTTACTTTTTCGATTTATAATTGGAAAGTTTAATGGGATGCTGAGTGCGTTTCACAACTAACTAAGAACTTTTAAAAGGTTTTTAAAATAAATTATAATACAAAAATAGTTTATAAATAAAAATATCACAACACTATGTTATATAAATACTCTGTTTATTTTTAATAATAAAATAAATAAACAAATAAAATATTTTTGAGCAGTTTTACTTAACTTTTCAAGGGCAAAACTTCGAGCTCGACCAGTTAAAAAAGCGAGTAAATTAACGACCATTTTTCGATTTACATTTAAGCCAGATATTAAGCCATTCAGGTGGCAGACATGTGCGGTAACTAATCGCATTGAATGCGACTTAACTTCCTCTATGTTTCCGTTTCTCTGTCTCAATACACTTAAAAGCTCATTCAATTTGGCCAAGACACGTTCGCTTGTAGCCCATTTGATGCCTTTATGATGCGAGTTCTTTGCCAAAAGTCAACATATGGGAAGGAGCACACAGGCCGAGGAAAAGCGGGGGAAATGCTGGGGAAATGGCTGCCGGCCAGTGAGATTCATTTGTAAATGAAATCAGAAAGGTGCACAAACACACTCGAATGCTTGAATGGTTTTAGGGGGGTTTGAGCTTTGAGTTCTGAGTATCTGAGTATCCTTCACTCACTTAAGCTTACGGCCTTTGTGTACCGGCGGCTTATGCTTTTTGTAGCCAAACTACACAAGTTTGTTTTGTATATAAACATGTACAAAGTTTGTTTGATTTTCTATTAATTAAAATTGCATTCAACTTGAAAATCGTATTTGTTGCCGCCAGCAGGGAAGTTTATCTGCTAGGCCTCGCCCACTTCTGCTTCCACATCCACTTACCATTTCCATTCAATAATGAACTTTGAATTGTAGCCTAATGGAAACACGTACAAGATTGCATAAACAAACTTGAAGCCGAAGCCAAAGCCAAGGAATTTAATTAATTTTCCTCCCCGTTTATGGGTGTGTGGGTATTCGTATACACACGACTACATACTCGTATGCGAATAAGTATGTGGCTCTTAATTGGGCAAACACGCCCATGGCCAACAAACACTAATGCATCAAATTGTCTGGCATAAATGTGGCCCAGTGTCAAACGCCCCGTTCATTAACACGCGGCATCCAGTTCCCAGGGAACTGGAAATGGAAAATGGACGCATCCAATGTCAGGGACGGCGGGGTCACCAAGGTTGGGTCACCACCTCGTCTGGCAACTGTCACCATCAAAGATAATTGCTACCTACGATCTATCTATTCTTTTTCTACTCCCCGAACGGGCTACCCACCCTCTTCCGCTCACATACAATATGCAGGAAAAAACATTTTAAATAAAAATGCATAAAAATATGCCATATGCCGCCCGAGGGGCAAAAGACAAAAGGGCGTTTAGAGCGGGAAAAAACACATTTTCAATTGCCTACACGATGAATAATTAAATCATACACGGGATATGCCACATAAATAAAAGAGTATTTGTTTAAAGTTTCCCTTTGTTTCTCGCTTTTTACATTTTCCGCACTATTTGACATGGAAAAATGTTTTCTGCCAATAAATCAATTGGCAATTTCATATTTTTTACGACCATTTTTTCATATGCACTTTTTCAAAGTTATGATTGAATGCTTTTTGTGCTGCGCTCATTGTTTACGCTGGTCTTTGTTTTCTAAATTTAAAATTTTATGCTGTTGACCAAGGCTGTCATAACTTTATGTGGCCTTTAACCTTCGCTCTTCAAAAAAATAGGGAGAAATTAAATGTCAAATAGGCATAATGTTTACTTAAATTAAAATGCTGATTTTCCACTTCCAAACAACTCACTCAATATGTCCCCAGTTTTATTTGGTCCAACTAAAGTCGCTACTGTCAATAAGCAATCGCTTAAAGGCCTATAAGTTTGCTGCCTTTATTGTTTGCCAATTGTGTTAATCTGGCATTTGTTAGGATTTGGCCGAGAGTGGCGAGTTCCTGGGGGCTACTAAAACGAAAACAGTCCGGACAATGGATATAATAACAACTGCAGGCGTTTTGCCAGGCACAAAACCATCATTCGATGTGTCCTTCGCCGTCGGCAAAAACTGCTAACCCTTGAAACAACACAGCAAATGGCAGAGACAACCAGTGCTGCCATTTTGTCCTTTTTCCGGACAGATCTGTCCTTTTTTTAACGGGTTTATCCGGAAAAAATTTCAAACATCCCCTATCCGGAAATCTGTCCTTTTTTCAAAAATAAGGTTTTGAGTGTTATTTTTGCCAGTCGAAAGTGTGTAAACCTGTTTTTATATGCTAAAACGCCTTTTTAACCATCAATCTTACAGTTCGGCACTTAAAAAATAATTATTTTTACAAATTATCAAAGCAGTCGATGGATTTTCTTTATAGTACGATTTTTTCTGTAGCAAAAAAAAGAGGAAAACACTTTAAAAATTTCTCAACTTTTACTCTCTGCTTTTTTGTCAGAAAAAAATTTCAGATTTTAACGTCTCTTATTCGGGTTTGAGGCAGATATTGAATTTTTTTGTATTACCAATATAGTTACTTGAAATGCTCTTATTATTTTAATAATTTTAGATTATTACGTATACGCACAAAAATTTACCATGGTAAAATGTTCAAACAAAGAAGGATGTGAGTCGGGCGCAGTAGGTCATTACATAATTGAATTTAATATAAAATCCATTTAAATTAAGTAATTATATAACCCATTGGTAAAACAGAAAAATGGAGGCGCATTTACTTTTGTCCCTTTTTTTGTCCTTTTTTAAATTTTTTTGTCCTTTTTTTCCCTGTTTTTTTTGGCTTATCTGTCCTGTTTTTCAAGCTGAGTGATGGCAGCACTGGAGACAACAGCAATCGAAACTTTTGCCACATTAAATCAGTAAATTTATTGACTTAACTGCTTTTTGGGACGAGGCGGCAGCAGCCACGCCTCTTGATTTCCCAGACCGCCCCCTTTTTGGGGGTTGTCAGCATTGGCGTTTGTCTCTTGGCCGCTGGCTGCGCACTTTGCCACTTTGGCCTGGGCAAGATGGTGTCCCTAGTCCTATAACTCAGTACACTCAAAAGAAAAAATAGTGAAAACTCTAGCCAAATGAAATAAAGAAGTTTTAAATCACTAAGTTTTTTAAAACTCTTTTAAAGGCGTCTAACAGTAGGCAAAAAAATAATTTAAAACAGGAAGATCTCTAACTTTCCTTACTAAAAAACTTTACAGCCATAAATTGAAAAACAATTTAATTTTTAATATAATTATCAGACTTTAACAACCATTCGTTTTGTTAAAATTTTTTTTTGCTTTTATGAAAGACTTTTAAAAGTGAAAACCGTGTTAATTTTTCTTTTCTCTTATTAAAATTAAGGAAGGGATTTTAATTGATTTCTTCAAAGAGATCATACTAAAAGAAAAAACGATCTGAGAGAAATGTCAAATATTTAGGAATCTTTATTTTTCCGAGTATAATTCGTCCTGCCGCAGGACCCCGTGTTTGGCATATTCCTTGGGCTGCCTTTGCCTGTGCTTTTGCCTTTGCCTTTGCCCCTTGCTGTGCTGTCATAATTTTTGATTTGCTTGTTTTATTTGATGTCCTTGCTGATGTCGTTGCTTTGGCTGCCATTTCAGGCGTAGTCGTCGTTCCTTGGCCCGCTCCTAAGCTTCTACTACCCAGCTTCCCAGCTTAGGAAAAACAATTTTGCAAAATTTATTTTATAGCAAAATTATGCCAAACATTTGGAAAATGTTTCTATGTACTCCCCGTTGTTGTTTCTCCAGCCGTTTGGGAAATGTGGATATATATATGTGGGGGATATCCACACACATGCGTGTGACCCGCTTGGAAGCTGGCCCAGAATTTATTTTAGAATCGTAAGTATTTCTGCTCTCGTGCCATCAACTTTGGCTGAAATTATTTGCTCGGGAGGTCCTGTCTGTTGTATAAACTTGGATAATGTAGCGCAAATAGTTGCTTATTATTTATTCTCTTTTATTGCTGCTGGCCAAGGCAGAACTCAACCATTGTCTTGGCCCGGCTCTTTATGGCCTTTTATTTTTCGGGTAATTTATTTGTGCTCCGGCAGAAATTAGTTGGAATATTTCAGTTGTTAATTAGGCATGCGTGAAATTGGGCAAAGTTTTGCCTGGCTTTTGAGTTGCGAGTTGGGAATATGGGCTAGACATATGGCAAAGATTCAGTGAACTATTTTCGCTCCTTCAAAAAGTGGCTTTCTCACGCCTTAAATTTGAGTTAATTAAATTTCTGTGTAACCCGCAGCAAAGTTTACGGTTTTCGATAGGAGAGTCCTTTGGGTGGGTTGGAGTTGGAGTGTATGTGTGCGATAAGGATTCCTCATTTCGGGCAAGTCCCGTCCCACCCTCGTTCTTACGAAATAATCAACATAAAAGCTTCGGTTACTTATTACACTTGTGCAAATACTAGACTAGAGAGTCGGGTCTCTAGCGCTCTTTAGAAATACAAACCGAAAATGGGGGAGGAGATGGGGTATACGTATCATGCCATACAGACTAAGTACTTGGAACCTACGAACTGGGGATGCGATAATGCCAGTGAAATACGGATTCAATTAAGGCGCGGAACACAAACATGCAACACAACACAATGGAGTGGCAAACGAAAGACAAGTTGCACAAACTGAAGAGAGGAGCTGGGATCCCCATCAACAACATTCAACATTCAACATCGACATGCGACAGGTTTGCACTTCGTACTCACAGTTGGCGGCGAAATCTCGGGGACGACGGGAACGGAAACGGGAAGGGGCACAGATGCCGAGGCATTCTGGCCATGTTGCAGATACACTAATGGACCGCCCGACTGACGCGGCTGCTGGACAATGGGCGGCGATGATGAGGAGGCAGCTGAAGTTGAAGGAGCTCCTGCGGCGGCTCCTTTGTCGAACTGATAGTACATGACGTCGGTGGCGGGCGCCGTTCCTCCGTAGAGCGGCGGAGGAGGTGGCGGCGGATCGGCGGTCTGCGAACCAGAGATGTGGTAAGGGGAACCCCCCGTAGCTGCTCCTCCTCCCGGCATCTGCGGCATCTTGTAGTTGTATATGTAGGGCCTTTCGTACTCTCCGCCATGTATGTAGGACAAGAAGAGATCCGACTTGGCTGGCTGCAGGCCAAAGCCTCCTCCTCCTCCCCCGGAGGAGACCTGACCTGACCTCTGACCCAAGGGACGATTGTGGCCCGCTCCCGAAACACTGCTGCTGGCATAGTGCAGGGGATAGCAGCCCGCCTGGGTTAGCTGGGAGTTACCTCCCGTGAGGAGCTGCGTCTTGGTGAGACTCTGCCCCGAGAGCCTCCTGGTGGGCACCCCGATATCCGACTTGGCATCCCGCCGCTTCACATGCGACACCTGCGTCGAGGGACCCTGGTAGTAGTACGGCGATGCCGGATTGCTGGGCCACTCCACAAAGCTGCGCTGCCGGCTGAAAGCACCACCACCATGGGAACCACCCGGACCACCACCATTACCAGAGGTTATTCCCGTGTTCCCGACCAGATTGCTAATGCTGCCCCCCGCCACTCCACCCGCCACGCCCCTGGAGCTCCTGGCCAGCGCATTGTTCAGGCTGAACTTGTACTGGTTGTTCTCGAAGGTCGTGTAGTGGAGCAGCCGGTTGGCCGGCGAGTTAGTAGCACTACTGGGATTTGGATTCTGATTCGAATTCGAGTTCGGATTGGAGTTAGTCGAGCTGGAACTGTGGACGGGAGCCAGGCCCGAGGAGCTCTGGGAGCCCGGGTTAGTGGATGATGGCGAGGAGGTGGCGTATTTGTAGGTGCTCTTCTGATTCTGGCGCTGCTGCTGGGCGAACAGCGAACGCTGCTGCTGCTGCTGGTTACTCACGGTCTGCTGCATCAGGTTGTTGTACGTCCCGCCGCCGCCCCCCGTGGCACTGCCCCCCGACTTCCGGTGCGATCCGCTCGAGGCGCCGGAGGATTTGTTGGTGCCGTAGCGAGTGCTGTCGCTGGATCTGTCGGTTAAAGGGGGGTTAAAGGGGGATTAAGTATTAAGTTGGTGGATATCGAATATTTAGAGAACAAATATTTTATAACGTAAAGTAAATGGGGCATTATATAAATATCTCAAAGGTGGGCTAAAAGGGAATTTAGTATTTAGTTGGTTGAAATCAAATATTCACAGAGCAAATAGTTAAGAAAATCCGAAAAATCTATTTCTTTCGGTTAGAGGAGGATTAAAATTTTAGTTCGTTAAAATTAAATATTTTCAGATCAAATATTTTAGAAAATTCGAAGTAATACATTTTTTTTTTTAAAACTTTGCTTTATTTTTGAATTGGCCAAATTTCTAGAATTAAAAAAAATTTAATAAACCTCATATATCTCACCTTTCCGATGAATATGCATAGTCCTGATCAGCTCCCAGTCCCGAGTCAGTGTGCTCATGGGAAACGCGAAGAGCTGAGTTCTCCAAGGGACTCAGATTAGAGCCAGTGGGTGAGATAAAGTCACCCATGCTCATGCTGGACATCATTCTACAGACCAAACCATCATGAATCATAAATATAAACTCATTTTTAGAAAAAGTTCCCAGGCCTTACCTAACTAAACCATTATTCCTTTCACACTCCCTTGACGAAATAGTGCTGGCCGATCGTATGGAACCATTTTTGGGCGCATGTCCTCCGGTGCCAGGACCTCCGTTGGCTTCGTGTGGATGCGAGCTTTGATAGTAAAGTCTACAATTATATACATGGGTTAAGTACGAGATGATATAAATGAGAAAGAAAAACTAAAGAAGAGACCCCCACCTTTTAATTATAATCTAAGGATCTAAAGATACTTACCCCCTAATGCGATCCACACGATTCCTGGCCTGACCCGTATTACCCGATCCACTGCCATTGGTGATGGTGTTGCCCGATCCCGTGCTCTTGGCTCCCACGCTGCTCTTGCTGTTGCTCTTGTGGATCTTCAGGTTGGAATTGGACCTCTTCGAAGTGGTCTCCACCACCGTGTAGGGGATCTCCCTCAGCTGCTGCTCCGACATGCCCTCCGTGTCCACCAAGTCGAATTGTAGGTGCTTCGCCAGCTCACTGTTCCACATGCGACTGCGCGATTCCGATGGTGATCTAAAGAAATAATTATAAAAAATTTAAAAAAAATTATAAGATAAATCTTATTAATTAGTTTGTTCTACTCACTTATTCTTTCGATGCCTCCTCGACTTGTGGTGCGAATGGGTGTCCGAGTGGCTATCGTTGCTGTGGAGACTCCTTGCCACCATGCTGCTCTTGGAAACTGCCGCCTGTTGCACCGAACTCTGGCCCAAACTGGCCTCCGCCTGGCGCCTCTGCACCTCCCGCCACTGGGATGTGGAATCTATCAGCTCGGCACTGCCACTCCTCATCGAGGAGCTGCGATGACCAGAGTAGCTGCGTCCCCTTGTGCTATCGTGATCCGATCCTCCGGCCGAATCCCTTCGGTGCCGATGCGATCTGCGGTGCTTGCGATGATGCGAACGCCCTGATCTTCCCGAGCGACCTGATCCCCTGGAGAGCTCGCTTTCGTTATCGGAGGTGCGACGATGACGGTGCTTATGCCTAAAAAAATAAGAATTAGTATTAGAAAAAACCAAGATCTCTGGCGATAAGATCATTAGGCAAATTATATATTTCATATTTTTACGCCAGAAAACAGTGACTTTCTCATTTTTAAACCCAATAATATCTTTTCCGATAAGATACGTATAAAAATTGGGAAATTCGATCTTCCCCGATAAGATAAACGATCCAATTTAATAAGTAAACATTCACTTTAATCCCGGCACTCAAACTAGGCGCATGCTTACGGATGTCCAAGTCGATAGGGTTTACTGGGGCTCAAAAAGTCACATTTACTAGACTGGTTGGGCTCTATCTTAACCTTTTCAGGGACACTATCAGAGTTATTTAACAGTTGATGGCTTTAATTCGCCTAGTACGATAAAGTATGCACGCGTCACATTTATCTAGTTTTTTTTCTATCGGAGTTTTAGAATATGTAGATGACTTTTGGGAAGGTCAAACTTGGGTCCAAGGTCTATTAAATGAAATAATCTCTCTTGATGGGCAAGGAATTTGCATATCACTACTATATTTAAATTTAAAGGTTTATGAAGGAAATTTAAGACTTTTCTTTATGATTTTATCTAATGTTTGGTGTGTTTTCAAGATCTAAAAAATATGTAATTGATTTATCTGAATATAGATATAAAAATATTACTAAGAATGTTTTCTATTATTTTATCTAAGGTTTTCCCGTTCTAAAAATATTTATTAAAAATATTTTAATCATCATTACTTACTTCCTAGTCGACCTCGAGTCGTTGGAGGAGTGGCTCTCCACGGAACTGGAGCGGTACCGCTGCTGCTGATGGGAGGCGGATGAGGAGCTGGCCCGCTGCCGCTGGTGGTGCGTGGAGGAGGAGGTGGCCCCAGCCCCTCCCGACGACGACTGGTGGTGCGGATGGTGGCTAGTTCCATGGCCGTGACTGTGGTGGCTGTGGTGGTGGTGCAGCCCTCCTCCCGCCGTACTGGCGGATCTCACGGATCGCGGACTCGAGGGATTGTGGCCGAAGAGGCTCCTCTGCTGGGATCTCGGCCAAGGAGCACTCCTTGTACTCCGCGGGGAGTCCGGTGTCTGCAGGTTGCCCCCGCTGTTGTTGTTGTAGCTGCTGGAGTTGTTGTTCTGCTGCTGCTGCTGATGGCAAGGTCTTATCCCCAAGCTAGTGGGTATACTGTAGGTGGAGCGATAGGGACTGTCGTAGTTGCTTTAGAGGGGGGAAAAACGAACGAAGAAATAGATTAAAGGCGGGGGATCAGTCAGCGCGATCTCGCATTATTTTGCCATAAATTTAAATTGTTTAACATAAACGTTGATTAAAGTCCTCTGCGGCCTGGAAGGCCATTTAGGCTGTCCAATTCGATCTGGGGAGGCTGGAACCCCAGATTCCCTTTCCCTCCTACCAATCCAGCAATCCACCAAGATCGACACAGACAAATAATGCGCGTGTGCAAAATTGAGTAATTGCCGCACTGGCAATCAGCGGGCAATCATTTCGTAGTCTCAGGAGTTCGGTATACCAGATTCCAGATCACAGATCGCAGCAGATCCCAGAAAACCCAGAACGTGCCTGGTGATTTATGCTCCCTGGGATCTGCAGTGATTGGCCTGATGTTTGGGCTTCTCTTTGTTTGCAAATGATAAATGACGCGGGCTATTTGCTCATCTCATGCCAGTCCCTGTCCAGGAATCCAGCCATCCAGCTATCCAGCGATTACGATTGGCTTCTATTACCTTATTTAGAGCCTCACCTGAGCGTGTAATTTATGCACGGATGGTGGGCAAACACTTACACTGGACAGGTCTCGGGAAAACGGTCTCTGGTAATTGTCTAATTTGGTGTGGTTTTCTTCTTTAGATACAACTGAAAGTATGCACTCCCCTACTGCTTTTAGCATGACTCAATTTCTGCCAAAAAACATCCATGATTTTTATTTGGCCATATAATTTGATGTTTGCAGCCATAAAACATTTAATAAATGCTGCGTCTAGACAATGTAACTGCCTCCGAAATGGCAACTAAATGGATTTTGAACACGAATTCGAAACAGAAACAGAGAATCGAGTGCCCGAGGGCACTTGAGACGGAACAAAAGTAAAGGAGCATATCTATCCATCCTGTTTGTCCTGTCAAACGCAAGCGGAAAAGCGGAAAAAGGCGGAAAAGGGCGAAGGGTCTTGATGAAGTGCTCCGGCTGCATTCCTTTCAAATTGAACCCGGCGATTCCGAATGGCAATAGCAATATATATATTTTTTGGAAAATTAAAAAGAGATCAAAGGCGGCTGCTCTCCCACATAAGAGCCACATGAGAGCTCTTATGGCCTGCACACAAAAAAAATTCGATATGAAAAAGGATCAATTCTATCTTATTTCATATCAATAATAAAACGATATGAAGTATAAACCAAATTTAGTATTTTTAGAACAGAGAATATAAAATAAGATAAAAATAAACTTTTTCATATCGTTTTGACCTTTAAGAAATATAAAATTAACCTGCACATATCAATTTGATCTTCTTCCAACTTTTTTTCTGTGTGCCTTTGGCTACCAAAAATGATTACTAAAAAGCAAAAAGGACTTGGGCCAAAAAAAGGACAACTACATGCGTCAAAGGAAGCAGCTGCCGTATATAAATGGGCAAAGTGCAGACTGGGGTACTCTACACATGGGTAAATCAAAACTTTTGTGCGCGGAATGAAAACAAATGATGGGCTGTACTCACTTGGAGATGGTGCCCATGCCGGGCTGAGGCAGTGGCCTGTTGCCCATGTGGCTGCCTCCTAATCCTCCCGCTCCACTTCCTTGGCCATTCCCATTTCCATTCCCATTTCCACTCCCATTGCCGTTGAAAAAGTCATCAATCACGCGGCGCGGCTGGCGTTTCGAGGGAGTTCGGGTGAAGGCTGGCGGAGATCGTCCGGCGGAGAGTGCATCCTTCTCCGTTTGCTTGTCCGGGCGACTTTTTGGTTGAGTTACGGGTTCGGGTTCGGGTTTGGCAGACATGCGGTGTTTGGTTGGTTGGGCAACATAAAAGTAGGCATAAAGGCGTCCAAAAATATTAACAACCAAATGGGGGAAATGCCGAAAAAAAATCATAGAAGACGCTAATAATGAACAGTGAACCATAAAAAGGTTGTAAAACACACACACAAACAGTAAAATAAAGCCCGAGTAACTGGCAAACTTTCATTTGTTTCTCAAATTAAAAACGTTCTGCTCTTGGGGCGGTCATAAAATGAGCCGACGACGCCCCTAAAATAAAAACTTTTCTTCTATTTTTTCGTTGGCCACTAGAAATGGTTTGCCAGCCAAGTTAATAGTTTCACTGAGTTACGGTTGGACTCCACGTGGACTCCATTTTGGGCAGGATGATAGGATGGCGGGTAGCAAGAAAGTTTACCGCAGCAACTAAATGGTCAGCCGCAGTCACCGCAAATGTCCAGTCATAAACATGAAGGACCTGGAGCCCCGGAATCCCCTGAATCCCCCCTGAAAACCCCTCGATTCCCTGCCACATTCGTCATGCACAATTGCCTGCATTTGGTGAGCCAAGTTGGCTTAGAGCCGCCTTTTCGCAGAAAGTCATTAGTGGGCTTTGCACTCGAGTTGCTTTTTGGCTGGCTGCCTGGAGGCCCCCTAATCCCCATCCCCCTACCCATTCGAGTTCCCTCTGCAGATCCGACATTTTTATTGGACTTCCAATTAGTTGACCATGCAGGCGATGGCGTAAACTTGATCTATGAACACTGCTTGGGTTGCACTGCTTCGGGTGAATCGGGCATTTGGCATCTGGCTGCCTGCTTCTGTTTGGCTTTGACTTCGACTTTGGCTTACGCTTTTGGCCAGAGATGAGTTCTAATTGGTTCGGCGGGAAACTCGAGGAGCTGACATGCGAACTGGGTTCATTTTCGCGTTTTCAGGAGGTCTTCTACGAAACTGGAGTGGCTCTTGATTAGGTCCCGACTTTAAGAGCAGGATTTATAAAATCAGAAAATAGTAGGTATCTCTAACTGTCCTTATACCATTTTTACTTTCAATTTTCTTTATATACAATTAGGAAAAAATTTCTAAGAAATTTTAAAAAATTTTAAATAGAATTATAAAATATTGAAATAATTTTCCCTTTTAATAAGATTTTATCTAGTCCTATATCCCCCGCCATAATTTAAGATAAATAGACCCTTGGAATGCCCCTTACATTCCATCTATCCTCTTCAGAACCAGCTTGTCCGTTCACTTGTCCGTCCGTTTCTAGAGCCCAGCCCCATTCGTCCACTTGAGCTGCCCCTTAATGAGCTAATCACATGAGGTGCTTTTCGGGGCCAGGAATTGAACTCGAGTGTCTGGGCCATTGGAATTTGTTACGTCTTAATTGGCTGCGCTTTTGGGCTTGGCCAATAAATTAGGCAGTGCAGTGCAGACCGGAGGGGTTTATCTTTTTGCGGTTTCGGTTTTACAACTCCATCTGATGGGCGGGGCACACACGACTGCACCCACAGGAACTTCCTGGAGAGGAGTACCTGGTTCACCTGGTTAGTTTCCATAGTTTCACTCACCTGTGCCTGAAGCGCGAACCCAGTTGGAACAAATCGGCGGCATGCGACTGCGAACTGGGCAGGGGGGCCACTCGCACCTGCCTGAAGAAGGCATGATGCTCCACGCAGCATCGCCACAAGTGTTTGCAGGCCGATTTGCGAGGCGTCTCGAATCCGTAGGTGCTCAGCTCGTTCTGGGGAGGAGAAAAACAGAATCCAATCGCAGAGGTGTGATAAGCACAAGAGTCGAGTCACGATGGGAACCGAGAACTGTGAACTGGGAACTGGAAACTCAACTGGGACATGCCGACAAAGGAGGCGGACTGACTGACTGAATGAATGCCCCTGTCGGTTTCGCCCCCTCCCATTACAAACTGTAAAGTGCTGGCCAAGGAAAAAAAAAGAAGCCGAAAATAAGGAAGGAAAAGGGAAAAATCAAGGCGAAAATGCTTAAGTTTCCGCCTTTTGTGCGCGTCAACTGGCTGGGAAACTTTTTTGATTATCAAAGCGTTAACACCCGAAAGTGTGCAACTTTCAGCAGCTTCGGTCATTCAGCGCCTTCTATCTGCTATATCCTATCTGCTACTAAAGCTACCAAGCTACCAAGCTACCAGCTACTTGTTGTCTAACGAGTCCTCCTACGCTCTCGGCTCCTGGCGCCACTTGATGCCGCTGACAGCCAAAAGTTGTCGCCATAAGGAGCACACAGAAAAATTGGCGACACTGCAAAATGGGAATAAGAAATTGAAGGCAGTTGAAAGGGGGTGCAGAAGATGGGATACCCTAGAAGGATTAATAGAAGATCTTAACTGAGGGAAGGTTACCAAATTTTACTGAGTTTACTAATTCGCTAGCTAGTTTTGTAGCTTATACCTACATCTTCAACAATTTCGAAAAAGTATAACTGCAATTTGTTTGTCGTTATTAATACATATCGAAATGTAGAAGACATTTTTCAAATCGGTCCATTCATTAAAAAGTTATAAGTAATGAATGATATTAATGAAATTCAAGCAGTCCAAGCAGTAATGAATTATATTATTTTTTAATATATATAATTTCTGTAAAATAATGTATTTTGTAAATAAAATGATAAAGATGAAATTCTTGATTTTTTCTAAATTTTTCAGAGTCTTCCAAGAATTATGCCCAAACTATCCCAGCTGCCAAATACTTTCTTCGCAACTTTGTCATAGGTCTACTACCCTTTAGTGCTAACTTTCGACCATTCACTCGCGGAACGAACTGCAAATTGTAAAAAGCACTTGTCGGCAAACAAATTTATGGCTGGGATGGGATGGCCCAAGGATTGGGGATCTGGATCCACATCGTCACAGTGGCCATTGTCGTTTCGGGTTCCCCTTTTCCCGTTTCCAGTTACCAGTTACCAGCATTGTCGCGTTTTGGTGCGTTTGAGAATTTACATTTTTATCGCTTATCCTGAGCATAAAATAGCGTCCTTTATAATAAACTTTGGCAATGCGCGGCCAATAGTAATGAGCCACCGTCGTCTTGTTGCGCAGCACGACAATCCCGCTAGGAGTCAGGCCCAGAAAGTACTCCACGCTGTCCTCGCCCTGTGGGAAAATGCAGAGAAAGTATGAGGAAAATATAGGGAAAATGTAGAGGAAAATGAGAAACTTTGGCAAACAAAGGAGGCGAGCGGAAAAGTTCTCCTTTCGGCCATTGCAAAAAAATGTGTTAACAAGAAGAAAGTTTTCGCCCATTAGCAGCAGGCGGCATTTTTATGGATACCTCGTTCAGCCAGAAAAAGGAAGGCGAAATAAATGTAATTTCAGCTGTTAATTAAATTAAAAAGAAGGAGAGACCGGCAAAGCCTATAAAAGACGGCGTTCTGGCGCCGCGATAGTCAATGATTTGTGTCTATAAACAAACAGAAAAGGGGGTGGATATAGGCTTTATTATGGCACATACCAAATACCATACCACATGGAGTACAAGGGTTCGGGTTCGGGATCCCCAACCCCCACCCCCATCATATATGTGTATACAAACACAGCTGGTGATTTATTGAGGTTTGATATCAAAGTAAAGGGCAATAAAAAATGCAAATGAAGTGCCAACTTACGCAGCACAAAAGCGTAGACACACGAGACTTGCTTTTTGGGGGTACTCATTTCCCCATCCCCATCATTTGTGGGTCCCCCACCGAAATGTGAGCAAATGATTTATAATATTTGCCTTGAAATGAAATTAAACTTTGCATTTCCCTCTGACCCCTTTTATCCGGCTGGTTGAACGTTGAAGCCCGGCTGTCTGGTGAACCATCTGCGGTTTCAGAACTTTGCAACTTTGGGTCATATGGGGGAGTGCCCCATACCATATACCATATCAACAGATTCAGTTTGACACATGAGCAGCATCAGCACATCGCTTCACTTACCAAAACGGGATGCAGATCCACGCCGTACATATCATGCCATTTGACTTTGTCCAGATAGTTGAGCTCCGCACTGGAGGGCGACATTCCCTTCAGCTGCTGGTGGAGTTCGGAGACGCGGGTTTCCAGCTCGTTGCTCTGGTTGGGCAGCAGGCGGAACTCGGACACATAGCCCTTCGAGTGGCGCCGCTGATCGTAGTCACCAAGTTCAGCTGGGATACAGAATGATACAAATAGGATTATAAGATAGAAGTTATACTGAGATTAAGCTAAAATCCATATCACATAATCACTATTTTGCTCAAAACATTGGATATAATGGAGCAAATATGGAATGTCATATCTCGTTGAGCTCGTAATTCAATTAAATTTTTGATAATTTTTCGCAAAAAATCATGATATAAAAAATGTAAAAATTGGAAAAAGTTAAAATTTTTTAAATCATTTGGAAAGTGATAGGATTCAATATTTTAGGTTTTTAGATGAACAAAAAACTGCATCTTAAAGATTTGGGTTCCTTTTCGGACAAGTTACAGCAAAAAAACACCTACAAAATACCTATTTTTTTACCAAAATCCAAATTATCAACTAAAAACTTGAGTATTAAATCTAAAATTGTATTAAACTTGTTGTTGTTAGCTTTTGTAATCAAATTTCTTTACTAAAGATTGTGGCCTTGTTAAATATAATATAATTCTAAAGCACCCCCTTATAAGTGTCAAATATCCTTTGAGAAACTCAAATCAACAGAAAAACCTAAACATTACTTTTGTTTATTCTTCGTAATGGATTTTGTGACACCTGTGACTCACTGGGAATTCTGATACTTACATTGCACCACAAAGGCTCCCAATTCCGCCGCCAGTTCAAAGGCCACCGGCAGTCGTCCCTGCAGAACATCCTGTTTGACTTGCAGGAAAAGTTGATACCTGCAAATGACAAATTTCATTAGCCAACAAGAAGGACAAGAAACAAAAACCCGAAAACAAGTTAACAAGTGGGCAAACAGAATCTGGGCATAAAATTAGTTGATCCCCTCTTTTTTGGATGTGGATGTTTGTCCAGAACAAACAGTTCAGCCTGTCGACTTGTTGACTTTGGGCGTAACATGGAAATCATGAAACGAAACAAATAAAGGGCAGTCTGGTAGGCTGGCATCATATTTCACAATTATTTGCTAAAATCAAGAGCAGCTCGAGCTTCGAGTTTGCTGGATTAAGCCTTCCTATCCTGTCTGTTCGAAAATCCTGGAAATTTTCAACTTTGTCCTGTCCAAAGTCAATTGCCGTTTATTGTACGCCGCAGACTTTGTATAGCTAAAATAACACAATATTCTTTGGGCCCCAGTGCACTTCCAATAATGCATCGGCAATTGCATTGCCACGCCCCCATCATCATCGTTATCCAGCTGCCCCCTTTTCCACTTGGCCAGAAGTGCATTTCGATGCATTTATATGCGCTAATATTAGCAGTGGATTCAGCGGCAGTTGGCCAGGATTTGGATGATGTTTGGCCAATGGTTTCGCCCATCTCGCAATCGCCCGGCGAATGATTATGGCCAACGTGTCGTCGTATGGAGGGCCAATATTTGCACACACCAAATGCTTGATAAATGCTGCAATCGCCCCCAGGATAACCAGACACCAGGACATGCAGACACTCGATGAAAGCCATGGCCATGGTCACATTTCCATTTCCCCGGCACACTTTCCGCGCACATTTTCCCCTTGACATTTGCGACATTTGGCATTTTCCCTTCGGCCCCTTGGCCATTTCCCATTTTCCACCGGCGTTGTTTTAATTTATTTCGCTTGATGTGCGCGCATAAATGCATTAATTGCTCGATGCATTATCCATTAGTTGAGTGGGCAGCCGCAGTTCACAGTTTTCAACTCGTGCATCTCAATTCGCTTCATTTGTTGTTTATTGCATTATAATTATGCGTCTGTGTGTGCCTCAATTAACAAATTAAATTTGCCAAATTCAATTTACCGAATTTATGGCAGACCAAAAGTTGGGATGGCACAAATTAAATGCTTAAATGGTTAATGTGTATGGGCAGATGGAGGAAATATTGGTATCTAAATTAAAATTGTTTAAATCTGATCTTTAATTACCTCTTCAAATTTGGGATTTAATTTTCAATAATTTTATTTAAAATGTTTTTAGCCATAAACTAAAAAATGTAATAATTTTCTATACTGCTGTTTATCTACCCAAAAAAAACTTGATATGAAATGATGATCAATTTGATGTTATGTGGTATCAATTTTGACTTGATAAGCGGCATCTTAATCCGATATGCTCGAATCGTAAACAACAAGTTCTAAGTAGACCAGTTCGAATTTCGAATGGGTTTTTTCTCGTTCCCACTCTTGTAACTTAAACCTTAATATGATGTTATATAATATCCCTTTAACCTGTATTACATGGTAAAAACGACATGCGTATGTTTATTTTGTGGGTAGTAGTTTCTTCTCACCTGGTTATTTCTTCCAGCAGCTTGCAGGGATCCGCAGCATAGAACTTGACGCCGAAGTACAGGTCATAGGCATCCGACTTGGGCTTCAGTTGTCGCGAAATGCGCGACGCAGGATCCAGCCAGTGCTGTGGGAAGATAAATGAAAAGGGGGGATAAATTCAAGGGCTCACCACGGGGCGTATGAGCAACCAGGTGGCTGCACAAAGGTGAATGTGAATTTCAATGAAGCAAGGGCCAACGAAAGCGAAATTATATAACTTGCCCCCCGGCAACCAAGGGACACTCAAAGAGTTGCCTTTTTAGTCTGGCAGCTCGGCTTTTTGTTTTCATTTTTCAACGCGCCTGAATGAATTTCAATGAAAACGAAAATGAATTTGCCAAAACCAATAGGTTTGCCCAGCGGAAGCGGTCTCTTTTTTTTCTTTTCTACATTTTTTTACTACTTTTTCTAGCTTCACTCTACACACTTACCGTCTGATTCTCCTCGTCGATGTAACGTATGCCGAAGTATGAGGTCTCGATTAAATTGAGCCTGGCGAAGACGACATCCAGCAGAGCCTGGCCGGGCAAATCATCCTGAAAATAGACAAGAAAATTGCTGTTAAAACAGAGGGAGCACAGAGAGTCCTGGGGATAAGAACGGGGGGAAAGGCAGGAAGAAAGCAAAGGCAAACACTGGAAACACTGGCAAACTGTTGAGCCATTGAATGGCCACAGACACGGTCCTCGTTTTCCTCTTCCATTTCCATTTCGTCCTGCGGCCCCAGTTTTTCATCCGGTTGGCTAAGTCCTCTGCCGCCGACAAAAGTGAAAACTTCCCAGTGACAATTATTCAATTGGAAAATTGCTGCCTTTTTTGTGCGCCTCTGCTCCTCTGATAAAATAAAACGATGGAGATGGAGAGGGAAATAAGAAAATGCCCGAGCAAACAATTTATGGCAAATCGAAGGCGGCCAAAGTCGGGCAATCAACAATTTGGCTGTTGGTTTAATTTAATTTGTTAAAGCTTTAAAATGCCAATTCCCTCTTTTCTCGCCCCGTCTGTCTGTAGTGGCAATAATAAATTGAGTTTATTCTCCGGGGAGTTCGAGGCATCCTGGAATCTCCCCCAAAATCGCCCCCCAAAAAAGGTGGCCGCAGCTGCAGGAACCGCAAAAAGCACCCGAACTATGGCCGTGGGGCGTGCTATTGTTAACCGCAAAGGCAGCTGCCACGCCCCCTGTTTACCCCCGCCCCCTTTTTTCGGCAGATGATGCCGAAATCCTCCTCGATTGTCTGCAGTGTGTCTTCCTCTTTTTTTTTGTGTATTTTTATACCCTTGCAGAGGGTATTATGATTTCAGTCAGAAGTTTGCAACGCAGTGAAGGAGACGTCTCCGACCCCATAAAGTATATATATTCTTGATCAGCATCACAAGACGAGTCGATCTAGCCATGTCCGTCTGTCCGTCTGTCCGTCTGTCCGTCTGTCTGTCTGTCCGTCTGTCCGTCTGTCCGTCTGTCCGTCTGTCTGTTTCTACGCAAACTAGTCTCTCAGTTTTTGAGCTATCGGGACGAAACTTTCGCAAAAGTCTTCTTTCTATTGCAGGTAGTATATATGTCGGAGCCGACCGGATCGGACAACTATATCTTATAGCTCCCATAGGAAGGATCGGAAGAAAAAAACTTTAAAAAATTCTAGCTTCGGTGTTTTTTGAAATATTACCTTCTACTTTTGGGGATGTTATTTTTTAAATATTTCTGAATTTCGAATTAATTATTTAAAAAATCGGACTACTATATCATATAGCTACCATAGGAACGATCGGAAAATTAATGGAAAAGTAATAGGAAATAAATTCTAGCTTCTTTGGTTTTTATTGTATTATCTTCTACTCTAGGATATAACTCTTTTTAAATATTTCCGAATTTCAATTTTAATTTGATCAAAATCGGACGACTATATCATATAGCTGCCATAGGAACGATCGGAAAATTAATGAGAAATAATGAAATAATGAGAAATATTAGAAAATTGAACATTTTTGCGATTTGTTAATTAATAGGAATGATCTGCAAGGGTATATAAGCTTCGGCTGGCCGAAGCTAGCTTCCTTTCTTGTTTTATTTTGGAAACTGACCAGCAGACACTGACTTTTGCCTTTTGTTGTTTGTTCGACCCGCTGCCATGTTTTATTTATGGTATTTCTGCCTCGTCGAAGGATCCCTTTGGGGCCTGCACATTCACATCCATATCCACACACACATCATACACATCCACATCCTGCACACGGCATTTCTTTCCCCCTTTGCATGCATATTGGCCTGCTTTATTGTTGTTGCGTAATAAACTTAATGGCTGGCAAGTGTGAACACACTGGGATTCCGGCGGGAGTGGGAACCCGGTGTAACTGCCAGTTTACTCGCAACTTCGAGCTGAACTCGTTTTGAATTTATGTTAAACATTCTGCTGACCTCATGGTTTCGAGAACTGAGTCCCAGAAATCGAGCTGCTTAACTCGCCGTCTGGGAATTGTAAATGCCAAAAGATAGAGTCAGTGGAAGTGAGGATGGTGTAAATGTATATATTGCAAATGGTATTTGATATACATTGTTTCGAAATGTTTGTAAGATACTTATATTTATTTGGATGTTTTTCCGATTCCATAAAATAAGAATTGAAGAATTTGTAATCGAAACAGATTTTTTAAATGAATTTTGTTTGTTTTGTATTCGTTTTTACTTTCTTCTTAAAAAGATAAATGCTCTAAATGCCTTTCTAAATAAATAAATTTTTTTATGAACTAAAACCTTTCAAAATGTTTTTAATTTCTCATTTAAACCCCTAAAAACTTCCCCCAAAATCCGGTGAATAAGTGTATTAATCTTCATATGACAGCACATTCCCATCAAAAGGGTCGAGTTGAGTTGATTTTTGCATGAGCTTCGGCTACAGGACGAGTAGTCAGGGATTCATGTGCGTGTGTGTGTCAAAAACTAATTGCATTTGTGCCTGTGACTGCATTAGATGACAGTCGTTAACAGGACGAAGTGACACAGTGACAGTGAAGTGACATCGGCAGTGGCAAAGTGAACGTGATGCTGCAGTCGGGCAGGACATCCACATCCTGCAGTCCTGCTGCTCAAATTGCATTACAAATACGTGAAGTGAACTTGGGCAAGGACATTAAAACAATGGTCTGTGAAATTTCCTAGACAAGTCATGTCCTTATTGTTGTCCTCCCTTCGCCAGAAAGCTCTTGTTCATGCTTTTACCATAAAACAGAAAACACAAAACACGAGAAGACGAGACGAGGAAAAGTGCATTTTAAAAATGCATAAGAACCATGAGCGTTCATCATATTGTCGGTTGGTTGTGAGAAGAAGCGTTTACTTAGCGAGAAGAGGAGCTAATAATGCATGTGCACGTAAATGGAATTCCAGATGAGGCGAGTGAAATAGTATCCCTTAAAGTGAGGCATCTCTATCGATCCAGGGATATTGGATTCCACTTCCAGAACTTCCTCTTTAGGAATCCCAACTAATAGACCGCCCCCTAAATAACACCCGTCCTAATGAACTAGTCTCATTCAGAGCCTAAGTTATGGCCAGGAATCAACGTAAACACGTAAGGACCGCAATTAATCACAGGGGTTTTGCCGGAAAAACTTGTGCAAACAAAAGTGTTTTGGGTCCCAAAAGGTTTCCCCCACACAACTCACTCACTGACAGAGTTCAATAAATTAGATTTTCCCCGAGAACCAGAAACCAGTGACGTAGATGATGTCTGGGGCATCAAAGGATGAAGGCTGTCGATGATCCTGATGCTGACAGCGCAGGATGGAAGCGGAGTAGGAAAAAATTAAGGAGACGCCGGATGTGCCTTGCGATGATTATGTTGATGCTAATGATGATTAGGTCTTTGGCTAAAATGTCTTAATCAAATTATGCTTACTTTGATGTTGCTGGAAGGACCTCCAGCCCCCGACGTAGCCAAAGGACATCGAATCCTGGCCAAGTACACTTAATGAGCTTACATTTTTCGCCACCCCCTGCCTCTCAACCTCAATTGCCTCTGCTTTTCTTGTCAGCTGACGGCAACACTAAAGCCGGAGAAATAAGGAGGAAGTTTTTCGCCATGCAACTTAATTAGAGAACGCCAAGTGGTAAACCGGAAAATATAGCACACATGTCTGGCCACCAGCCAACCCCCGAATAACTCCCCCTTTTTTTCGCCACCCTCGGGGGACACTTTTTGGGGGTGAAAAGTAAAATCCCAGCATCGCGTTTTGGCTAAAACGTAATCTTGGCAAACTTTAACGACGTGACTAACCCAATTTCGGCCTTTTGCGTGCCCAGAAATCCGCTTTAACATAATTAACACACATGCTTTATGTTGCCAAAGGATGGGTTTCCTGTCTGAAACTACTTGATATCAACTTGGGTTTATCTAAAACAGGAGTTACCTGAGTTCAAAGACCCAAAAAAGTTTGAAATAGTTTTAAGTAGCAAGTTTAATAGTTCAAAGAAATGAAATAGCTGACCTTTAAAATGCACAGCATACTTTTGGGCACCTTTTAAAGTGATTTTTAAAATCTAGTGGTTTTTAAAAAAGTTTACTTTGTGATAGAAAAATTAATAGAAAGTTTAATAGCTCAAAGAAAATTAATAACTGGCTTTCAAAAATCACACAATACTCTTAGGCCCCCTTTTAAGTGATTTTTAAAATCTTGTGGTTTTCATAGAGGTTTAGTTTTTTAAATACAACATTTTTCTTGTAATATCCAGACCAGCTAGATTATATCCTATTTCCTGTGTAAGCTCATTTGCCATCTCTTAAACTGCAAGGCGGCTAAGAAGAAATGCCAGCTTATTGCCCTTGCAGAAGGAATAAAAACAAAGCTGGCTGAAATGGAAAATAAAAAGCAAATTCAAGTCGCCGGCAATGAGGGTCAGGTCAGATGTTGGAAACAAAGCTCGGCATCTGCTCCCAAAAGGTTTCGCCATCCACCGGGTCGTATACTTATTGCCCTCCATGTTGTGTGATTTGTGTGTGTATATATGTGTGTTTTTAGCCTCTCCAATTGCATTGTGCGTATAATTGCGATGCTTGGCTTAAACGTGCGCTGACCTCTGACAACAAAAAATACACACAACACTCGGTGGAAAAAGCTGAAATAAAAAAATAAAAACAGATGCAGAAGAGAGCTGCATTCGTTTGTGTTTATAACGGCATTATGAGTCTTAAGCTCAGGGCACAAAAATGGAAGAAGTAAAAATAAAAGCCAGAAAAAGCAAACAAACGGGGCTAAAACAGAGGGAAATGGAGAAAAGGACAGAGAGCGAGTGCAATGTCACAGACAAAACGGCGACAAAATGAAAGAAAAGCAATGCCAGCAACATCGTGTCGTCGTTATGCAAAAAAAAAAAAGAAGGCAGCGCTTCCAAATGCTAAAGCAGATTTATAACCCCCCTTTTCGGGGACCCAGATCCACCCTGCCTGCTCATCCCATATTGGCGCATCTTCACCTAACTGAAAAACACATTCAACAAACGAGATTTGCGTAATTCCTGCAGCTCAGCGCCGAGGAGAAGGTT